CGATGCATCTCGAGAGGGGGTCGTGATGTCGAAATCGGAGGAGTCGATCGCGAGTGCGTCGAGCAGCTTCGATCATGATTTCCTTGTGGAAGGCGAGGCGGAGGGGGGAGACAACTCGGAGTCGTCGACCTGTCCGAGAACGTCCTGGATGAATTTATGGTACTCATGTCTTCGAAAGATGTCCTGGTGGATGGGCTGCTCTCCTGGCGGTTTCGACGATCGGGCAGAAAAGGTAGCGGAGACGGCAGCATGCTCAGAGATGCGAGCGCGGCTGAGCACCCCTGGGTAGCCGTGCACCCTGCCGCCAGTGCACCACTGAGTAAGGCCCCACCCTGGCGCAGACACATAAATCCTATCCAATTTCCGCAGGGTCCCCTGCGCGGCGCAGTGATGAATAGGTTCCTGAAGTTGGATCTCCGTCATCTGTCCCAATATACGATTCCAAGCCAGACCGTCCGAACCCAGACGTCCGTTCCCAGTCCCTCGCTGTGAAGGGCTCATAGAAGGCTCCACAGGAACCGAGTAGCCAGAAGGATCCAAATTTTCGAAGCAATCGAGCGCCACAGAGGAGTCCTCAGAGAAGTTGAAGCCCCCGCCAACGACGACGAAGGTTTTGAGGGGGTCCGCGGAGGCCAGGGAGAGGTCGGAGGCGATAGCATCTAGGATCTCGGCGCGCTGCTGAGACGACAGACCGCGGCCATGAATGTTGAAGTGCGAAATGAGGACCCCGCTAGGAAACAAAATTCGAACATTCAAAGCACGCCCCTGGGTCAAACTACGTTCCGAAATAGAAGGCCTGTCGTCTGCAGCATGCGTGATATCAAAATCGGGAATGAATGTGATCACTCCTCCCGCAGCATGCGGCGAGGCTGGCAGAAACGAGTAGTAGGAATGAGTAGGGAGGTGGATGTGGTAGAGCAGGTCCCTGAGCTCATCCAAGGTCCCATGAGATTCCTGGATCCCGAGAATCCAACCTTTGCCCAGAAGTTTCTTCATGTAACTGATCTTCCTGGCCCGAACTCGGTATTTATGATGGAATAAGGCTTGCCCATCCCACGTCCCCACAGAGATCGGAGTAGGAGAGGAAGAACGTCCGCACCACGCGGCTAGAATCGGGTTCAACACGCCACTGAACGGGTTCTGCAGGCGGGGCGAGCAGCTTGAATTTGGCGCGGATCTGGTCGGCGCTGAAGCCGAACTGAGCCAGGTTCGCGTGGACGAACTCGAGAGTCGGCTCGGATCCCTGACCTGGCTGAGGAGTGGCGCGAACCAGCGGCTTCCACTGCGTGGAGACCTCGCCGCGATCACGGTTGCCGTGGAACTGGTGGGTCGGGTAGAGCTCCGAGAGCGTCGCCTTGAGCTTCTTCGTGAGGAGCTCCGTCCGCACCTGCTTCTGGGACTTGTCCGTGGAGATGTACACCTCCGTTGCCGCGCCCGTGGTGTCGGCCGTGGAGAAACGCTGCCATGGGGATGCCGAAATTTTGAAGCTTCCCGTGAGTTGCCGAACGTCCGGCGGCCAGCTGGGCATTACCTTTGATCCTGAGGACGAAGCGGCGGGCAGCGGGATCTCCTTCCAGCAGGACATATGCTGGGTTGATATTGTTTTTTCTCGAGGATGGGCTGCACCACGTCTTTGTCGATATTGGCTTTTGGCAGCATAGTCTTGGCCCGCAGGACAAGCACCGTTGGATCTGAATCTCGGTCGAAGCTGGAGTCTTCCACACGCACAGGAGGATATTCAGATTGCCTGATACCCAGGATCTGCTCGAGCCGTTCGATCTTGTCGGACAGACGCTGGACGTTGGAGTCGGTCTGCTGCTGATGCCGCTCGACGTCGGCGGGTCGCCGTTCGACTTGCATGCTGAGATCAGTACATGATTTGTGAAACTGCTTTGCGATGTCCCCTATAGATGCTTGGAGCCTGCCGAGGGAGTCCATGATCGAGTCGCGGGCGTGGTCCACGTAGTTGCGTATGTCTTCTCCATGTGGAGCACGTTTGTCTTCATCGTGAGGAGAGCGGCTGCGTTCATCAGCAGGAGGAAGGTCACGCCGACGAACAGGAGTGTCCGAGCCGCCCAGGCCATCCTCGGGACCACGCGCAGCTGCACCTCTGCGTTCCTGCGTCGGGAAGGTGGGGGCGAATTCACAAGCCGCCAGCGCCTCGAGGTCGGACCGATTGGGGCGCGCCATCGTCGCCTGTCTACGCTGGTAGACGGCACCCAAACAATGACTGGTCCGAGAGGTCGCGAAATCGGTGGCCTCCTGAAGGCCGAAATTGTCTCGAGAGCGGCCTACGGACGGGCCGCAAAGCTAATCGTTGATTCTCGGGCGTCTACAGCCCTTCACAACGTTTAGCCTTGAGCCAAAATGGCTACGGACTCATCCTCCTCCTCCTCCTCCTCCTCCTCCTCCTCCTCCTCCTCCTCCTCCTCCTCATCATCATCATCATCATCATCATCATCATCATCATCATCATCCTCATCAGCAGCAGCAGCAGCAT